ATTTTATACCTCTTAACTTCCTTTCAATCTTCCACCTTTCTCAATTCTGCCCAGACCCAGGTATTGACTTATTTTTCTCCTCACCGCTCCAGCTTTGGCTCTGCTTGTCCCCAAGCAGCAAAATCCTACGTCATGTCCTTGGAAGGCAGCAGCAGATTCATCTAGCTTCTCAAAGTCAACAACTTCTTGGACCTGGAAACAGGCAGGACAGACACTTCAAAAAAACAGACGTGAAAGAAAGAACTGGAAAGTCCAATGGAGAAAATGAAATATATGTGTCTCTCTGCTTCCCAAAACAAATGAAGACAGAACATCTCCTAACTAATGACGAAATCTTAACTCATGTTGAGAAGCCAAGATGAAATTATCAAACAATCAATAAAATGCACAACCTGGACAAGGCAGAGAAGGGATGCTGAAGTTTCCTTCCAGGTGTGGTGTGATAAGGGGGAGCATAGAAGCAAATGTTTTCTACTAGGCTCCCTTCTTGTGGAATAAGCTACACTCTGAAATAAGAAAAGCACCCTCATTGCTGATGTTTAAGAAGCTAGTTAAGTTATGGTTATTCTTGGGAGCATTTAGGAACTGAAGAATTGAATAGATTCATGTACCTGAGATAAGTTGGAAACAAATAAAGAAGAGAAGCAACCTAGAACTAAGAAGACATTTCCTGACAGTTAGAACAATTAATCAGTGGAACAACTTGCTTCCAGAAGTTGTGGGTGCTCCAACACTGGTGGTTTTTAAGGAGAGATTGGATAACCATTTGTCTGAAATGGTATAGGGTTTACTGCTTGAGCAGGGGGTTGGACTAGAAGATCTCTAGAGCCCCTTCCAACTCTGTTATTCTGTTATTCTTTATATCTATATGTAAACAGTTATGTAAACCACTTAAGATTTAATTGAAAGAAGGAGCATAGAAATGTCTGAATCAAACGTGGCAGTAAGCTAACTTAAGAGCTACACCATATAAAAAGAGGCTACAGTATCTTGAAATACCAGCAACTCTGTGATGGATATTATAATCTAGTACATAAAAGACTGAAGACAATTTGGTTCATCCAGTTCTTTTTTATATGGCAGTTTTCTTTATGGCACCATATTCTTTACATTGTTTATATACTATATTATGTCCTACATAATTAGATTTCCTAATTCCTTAACCATTAGCATTAGTAAACGAATAATTATTTATACCGCAGGTATTTAAAATTGCTTGATTGTCTTATATTTTGGATAGAGTATTTAATAATATTTTCAATTACTTCTGTTTTTGATAAATTTGTAAGGTGTTCTATTGGTATGGAATAGAGAAGAATAAAATAAAAGATATGTAATATATTATTAATGAATATAAATATATTTCATCAACATTACTGTCAAGAAATGTTGAGAGATAAGGCTGGATTTTTAGTTAGCATAGATTTACAGTATTTTTTCTGAGCACTAGGTTGAGGATGACTATAATAATATATAGCAAAAATCCATGTGGTTAGCATTTAGAATGCAAATTAGGTCCAGAGAGACTCAGCTTTAAATCTCTGTCCAGTTCTAAAGGGAATGAGGTGGACAAAAACATAAAATTAAAAAAAATATTTTGTTTCACACCACATTACTGTAAAGAGTCCCTTCTAAATTTAGCTTTTGGCTGCCAATGAGGGTCACACAAGAGAATTTTTGCTGCTTTAAGATTTCAAGTAGCAATATTTTCCCAGTTTCTCCAGACGCACCCAAGATGAAACAGTTTTGTTTCTTCTGTTCTTCTGATCTGGGAACCGCCATACTGTTGGCAAAAAACAGCAGTGAATTTTTTTTTAATGGCATTTACAATTCAGTTCTCTATGTAATGCAGATGTTTAGTCCCAAGAGATTCAGTGACAATTTCTTTCCCAAATAAAACTATACAGGATTGCAACTTCATCTTCAGAAGAAGTCATTTATTTGAAAACTGATAATGAAAATGGAAACACAGCATTGTTGGAACAAGTAGTGTTTAATTTCTCCAAAACAAATCCCTCTTTCTGAGAAGTGTACGGTATCATACTGTTATGTTTGGTGATCGGTGAGGCATTGACGAGGCAGCAGGTACAACAACAACTCTTTTTTAAAGGTTTAAACAGAAGCCTACATAACTGCTGCTCCACCCCTATTTATATACTCAGCAACCAGGCAGCGGCCAATAGGACTCAAGTATTAGTTCCCACTTTAATACAAGTTAATGAGCATGTAGACAGAAAGTCTGGCCCTTTAACTGACAAATCTTATGACCGTTTTTGCAGCCCGAGCCTGCAAAGACAAAGTGAGGAAAGCTAAGGCTCAAAATGAACTAAGGCTTGTGACCAAAGTCAAAAATAACACAAAAAGCTTCTTTCAACATGTAAAAAACAAGAAAAAAGTTAAGGAAATGATTGGTCCATTAGTGGCGGAAAGTGGCAAGAAGGTGACAAGCAACAGGGAGAAAGCAAAACTATTTAACTCATTTTTTGCATCTGTCTTTACATAAAGGGAAAAAACAGTCCAACCTATCAAAAACAGTGCCATAAAAAACAGAATAGAAACGCAAGTTAAGATAGGCAAGAAAATGGTAAGTGAGTACCTGTCCAGCCTAGACGAGTTCAAACCACCAGGAGCAGATGGATTACACCCCAAGGTTCTCAGGGAACTGGCAGATGTGATCTCAGAACCACTGAACTATATTTTTCAAACATCCTGGAGCACTGGGGAACTACCAGAGGACTGGAAAAGAGCTGATGTAGTTCCCAACTTCAAAAAAGGAAAAAAATGGATCTAGGAAATTACAGACCTATCAGCCTGACCTCAATACCTGGGAAGATTCTGCAAAAAGATAATCAAACAATGAATCAGCAAACACCTAGAGGCAAACAAAGTCATTACTAAAAGCCAACATGGGTTTGTCAAAAACAGATCATGCCAGACAAATCTTACTGCATTCTTTGACCAAGTGACAAAGCATGTGATCCTCAATGGAACTGCATCTACATGGAGGGAAATGTGTAGTGGGGTGCCCCAGGGCTTTGTTTTAGGCCAGTGCTCTTCAACATCTTCATCAACAATTTGGATGAGAAGCTAGATGGGGAACTCATCAAATTTGCAGATGATACCAAGCTGGCAGGAATAGCCAACATTCCAGAAGATAGGCTTAAGATACAGGAGGATCTGGACAAACTTGAACACTGGGCGCTATCTAACAAAATGAAATTCAATGATGAAAAAAGTAAGGTTCTACATTTAGGCAAGAAAAACCAAATGCACAGGTATAGTATAGGTGGTACCTTGCTCAATAGTAGCAACTGTGAGAGGGATCTCGGAGTCCTAGTGGACAATCACTTAAATATGAGCCAGTAGTGTGCTGCAGCTGCCAAAAAAGCCAACACGGTGCTAGGCTGCATTAACAGAGGGATAGAATCAAGATCACGTGAAGTATTAATACCACTTTACAATGCCTTGGTAAGGCCACACTTGGAATACTGCATCCAGTTTTGGTCACCATGATGTAAAAAAGATGTTGAGACTCTAGAAAGAGTACAGAGAAGAGCTCTGTAGACTTTCAATTGAACAACAAAAGGAGATGAACTATTTAATTACTTCTGAGGAAATTAGTTCAGCAATTAAACAGTTAAAAGTGGGTAAGGTTCGTGGTACAGATGGATTATCAGCAATTTATTATAAGACACTATCTGAAGAGATGATAGAACCATTAAAGGAACTTTTTAATAGTATTCAGACTGGAGGAGAAGTGCCTCCGTCTTGGAGGAGGGCATATATATCGCTGATCCCAAAGGAGGATCAAGACCTTACCCAGCCTAAGAATTATAGACCTATATCATTGTTGAATACAGACTATAAGATTTTTGCAAAAGTATGGGCTAATAGATTATTGCAAGTTTTGAAGCAAATGATTCATACTGATCAGGCTGGATTTATAACTGGAAGATATATGAAATACAATGCAAGACAAATTGTCAATTTAATTGAATATTTGGATAAGAACAACCAAGTCCCTGCGGCTCTGATATTTTTAGATGCTGAAAAAGCCTTTGATCAGTTGAACTGGCAATTTTTATTGAAAGTTGTTGATAAAATGAATTTTGGGGAAATTTTTTTATCTTCTCTCAGGGCTAAATATCAACAACAAATGGCACAAATTATAATTAATGGGGGATTAACAGAGGAATTTAAAATTGAAAAAGGTACAAGACAGGGATGCCCATTATCGCCATTATTGTTTGTTTTAACATTGGAGATTTTATTGATCAAAATTCGTGAATCAACTATAATAAAGGGAATAAAAATAAAACAGAATGATTATAGGTTGAGAGCTTTTGCGGATGACTTGGTTGTGACATTATCCCAACTGATTCATTCGGTTATAGATTTAATGGAGGTTATAATACAGTATGGGAAGGTTTCTGGTTTTAAGGTAAATAATAATAAGACTAAAATACTATCTAAAAATATGACTGTGAAGGAAAATGAAATGTTAGCTAAATTGACAGGTTTTGAAATAGTGAAAAAGGTTAAATATCTGGGAGTATATATTACAACTTCTAATGTAAAATTGTATAAGAATAATTATG